CTTCCAAGCACTAAGCCTCTGCTTGTCAGAAACTTCCGTGATCGTGCTAGTCCTAATTTTAAGAACGAACAACTGTTTTACTGCTAACTGCTTTCTCCATCATCGTTATCACTGTCCAGCAGATGTAAAGCATTCCCCGGAAGACACCCAGTGAAAAAACAATGGAAGCAGTGCACAACGACGATAAAAGCTACCAGACAGCTCTGAGATCCATCCCTCACAAATGCAGTAGCCTAAAGTTATCGCTGTCTTCCCTCGCAAGTGTGATGATTCTGCACAGCTAGTGTCTTTCGCCGCAAATGCAGCAAAATAACGCTTTCGCTGTCTTCTTTCACGAGTGGAACAACCTAACACTACCCGGGATTTCTCATATAAGTGCGGTAAATCAATGCTACCGAGATTTCTCCTCACCGCTGTCTTTCTTCACAAGCACAGCGACTCACCGGTTCAGTGTCTTCACTCATGAATGTAACGGTCTAACGCTATTGATGCCTCCCCCGGAAATTTTACACATACCCTCCATCCAGAAAAACAAGGCCGCACCAAAACGCCCTCTAAATTCATGAATTTCTACCACTGCATATGCCCCACTTGTAACCGCTAATGCAATCAAATTTTTTTTTTTTGGTGCTCACTGTATCATTGATTGTGATGTTTTTTTTATTGGTGAGACCTTGCTCTTAGCTTATGACAACACACTTGCAAGGCCGCCACTGTTCGGGAAAAAATGCTTATAAATTTCAGGGAATGAATAATCATCAGCTGATTCTGAGGGAGAAGAAATTCATGCCTAAAGGCCACAAGCGTGAGTAATACTCTGCTGCATTTTCCCAAGAGCAAGGCCTCACAGGTGTGTAGTCGAACAGGACAAATAAAATTTTTTTTTCGAAAATGCAACTTTTTTCACCGTAATTATTCAACAAACAAGAAATAAGAGAGAAACTGTATGGATCGAAAAACCTGAAATAAAACTCTCTCGTGCAAGGTCTCACTGCAAAAAAAAACATGCGCAATAACAATAATATGAGCAAGAAATCAAAAATAAAAAATGTACATCGTTCATAAAATTCTAATGCAAAACAAGATAAACCGCTCTGTCTCACAACGAACTATGTATGAAATTAGTGCAAAAATGTATGAAATTAGCAAAATTGTAAAAATAAAAAATTAAGAAAACAGCAGTTTTTCATTTCTTTTAATGAATTCTTCAATTTCCTGACGAATTTATGCCAGTTACTGACAAGTTTCGGGAAAATTTTCACTGTTTGTTCTCCGAATTTTTCTTCTCGAGCAATCAAATATATACATGAAGAAATATACCACACGTTCAAGCAAAAAATTTAGTAATTTAGATATTTCCTTTAAACTTACTGCTAAACAAACTAGTTTCATACTAAAAGAAAAACATGCAATTAAAAGTTATGAAAATTTGATTATACTTCTCTTGTATCAGCCTAATGAAACCTCAACATGAAAAAACAGCGCAGCATTATATTCTGGAAAAAACTTTTGGAAGATTTCACTCAGACGCAGAAGCACCGCTGGGTTCCTCATTCCTTGAAGAATGGGATGATGAAGAAGCACCTTCGCCACCTCTTGGCTCACTGCGCTTCCGCAAAAACAACCTCGGTCTCTCGTAGTCACCCAAAGTGGGCTTTAACCGGTGCCTCAGATGCTCCGGCGACGACTGATGACTGGCCGCTTTCGAGGTCAAAAGTGTTGGCCTCACAAACTCGAAGCTCGCACTTTCATCTTTTACAGCAGCCATCTGCGTTGAAGACTCGACTGATGTACCAGCACCAGCTGCCACTTGCGAGGACGACTGGCTG